ATCTCCTTCTATCTCGAATGCAGGCCTCGGAACTTCCATTATTTTATTATTTTTAAACACGTCACTTTTTTAAGCGAGACCATTCTCTCTCTCTCTTTCTCTCTTTCTCTCTCTTTCTTTCTGGGCGTGGCGGAGCAACGCTGCAAAAAAAAAAAAAAATAAAAAAACATGTTAGAAATGGCACAATTGGGGCGACTAGCCCTCTTAGGCATTATTAATGTGGAGATACGTGGACGAATTCACCCTCGACGGAGGGTGAACTGAAGAGTCGGCCGAGATTTCTTTCATGTTTGGGCTCTGCTTCTCGAAATGGTGGGTACGCGTCAGGGCACGTAGTTAACTTTCGTGTTGTCGGTAAATCTTTCTATACGGAATTGTGACGAGGGATACACGAAAGTGCCGCGAGGTGGTGAGATTTTTTAACGTTATTCCGTTATTAATGGCAGAAGATTTTATTGAATTATTATAATTATATATATAGTAATATAATATAGGAAACCAGATCAATCACAAAGAAGTATCAATATGAAAAGATTTATTAAATAAATATTAGCATATATCGTAGTATTATAAATTTTTATAAAAATGTACGCGCGTAAAATAAATAAAAATTTTATACACTCTTTTTAATAATATCAAAGCTTTTCTTCGATGATTTTCTACCATATATTTTCATTTAAAAATATAATATAAGTTTTCGCCAAAACTGTATATGGTAATAAACGAATAACAGTACTAACGCGTTCATAAACGAATGATATGTCGACACGGTCGCGTTATATTATTCACTTATAAGAGCGAAGATATCTTGGAGGCAGTTCGGTCACACGAATATCTGACTATTTACCCTCGGCTAGAGGTGTTGAAGCGTACGCTTCGTAAGAGATCGGACTCCGCCTGGAGCAGTTAAGGAGGGTTTTAGTCACGGGGGTGTCGGCCCGAATTATGCAACGCGAAGGAATACGACGACTTGGGTATTCGCACGCAAATCCGCTACCTCGGGCACATTTTACCGAGAAATACAGCCGGGGCGGGTTACATGTTTAATCACCGAGCGGTTTACGTCTTCATATCCGGCAGCCTTAAAATTTGCATAAAACATCGCCCGATCCTCTCTTGCACGAATTAGTATGAATATTTTACAAATTATTCATCAATAAAGCCACACTATTCGCGATTGTTAAATTAGCCTCTGATATACCGGAAATACGATGCTATTATTTTTAACTATAAATACACAGACAAATCGGATACAAATTAAAGTATTTTATATAAATTGCGATTATACGTCAACGTAGAGATGTAAATAAAATAAAAAAAAAAAGATTTTTTAATTCAATCTTATTTAATGCGAAAAACTTTGTCTCTCTGTACAGATAATTTTCAAGGACTTCCGCCGGAAGCGATACCCGCCTTTTTGCAGAATCTACAAAATTCGGCGGGTTACAATATCGCCAAGCCGATCGCGAGGCCAGCGGCTTATCACCCTTATCACAGGCCGAGTCATCAACCCCCTCAACGACACTTGCCACCGAACGCTCATCATACGCTGCAACAACTGTTCTACAGAGGCCCATATCTGACAGGTAAAACATTACATGCGAAATTATCGTTGTCACTAAATGACAACAAATTAATACACTATTTTAGCTTAATCGAACATTAATTATAATTGCAGATAAAAACATTTAACTGCTTTTCTTAAAAACGCTGCTAAGCTCAATTTTATTGCCTCGTGTATATTTAGGGGATACAGAGTACTATCTCTTAATTTGTTGACATCTTTTTAAATATATTTTTCTAATTATTTTAAATTGTTTCAAGTTGTCATAGATATGTATAAAATATTTCGTATCGTAGATGACATTTGCAGGTTTTGCGTATTTGTAATTATATATTTGCGTACTGTTAATAAACAAGCGCGATGGAGACGGGCGATGCAGAAATCACTCACGTATCCCTGACGAACGATTAAAACCGAAACTTCGGCATCTGGCGCCATACAACAGCGATGATACGCGCGCGTATAAACGCCGCGTTCGCGCGGCCACGTGCGCGGGCCGCGCGCATACGCCGGGTTTATCGAATATCTTGTTATAGGTAGGCTCGTATGGGACATGGAGTGCATATGAAGTGCAGTGAAAGCACTACCATATTATGTACATGCTCCGCCACAAGGCAAAATGCACGCATGCAACAAGTGCGTGCAAATATCATCGGTGCAGATAATACCGTCATGCTCAGCTTGGCAATATCGCGCAGACACGATCTGGAGATTCAATTGCCCGTCCGTTATTAGATGACTTTGATACAGCCGCTATCAAGCGATTCGCGCGCGAATGAACAATGACGTTATCACTCGCTTTCTTACGTTATCCCTTACGATGATTTTATTGAAATATATTTTCATTTTTTTTTTAAAGATTTATATAGATAATTTAGAGATTATTTATTATCAAAACTTTTTTTTTTATATATTGCATAGATAGATTTTTTGCACATGTATGTCGTCAACGCATTTTGTATGCTTTTTGTTGACAGTTGCTAGCTCTGGGACCGGAAGTCATCATCCTGGCACACCCGGCGGAGGTGCCGTGTTTCCAGGCGCTATCCAGGGTAGTATCGGTGATTTTTCCGGTACCGGTTTGGTTTTTCCATGGGCGACGAACGCGCGCGGGAAACCACGCCGAGGAATGATGAGGAGGGCCGTTTTCTCGGATCTCCAGCGTCGCGGACTCGAGAAAAGGTTCCAGATACAAAAGTATATCAGTAAACCGGATCGTAAGAAGCTCGCCGAGAAACTGGGCCTCAAAGACTCGCAAGTAAGTGAATTGATATTGCATTAAACAAAAAATAAAAAAATTTTTTTATATCTTGAATATCCAAGGACGGAATTTTTTGAATATTCGTAGAATATTTTTGATATATTTATTATATAATATTCGTAGAATATTCAGAAAATAATTTGTATGTTTGAGTACTCTCTGCTAATAATTGGAATATATATTATTCCACTATGCGATTATTTTGATACTTACTTCGGTATTTGAATACTGACGATTTGAAATCAATTTGATATATAATTATGTATATATCTCTATATTATTATTATTGTCGTGCAATTTCGACAAACTTGTAAGCAGCGAGATATAGTTTAGCTTCTTCTCGTTAGCACAGTTTTCTGAACGCGGAAATCAATTGCATATCAATTATAGCGCGCATCGAAGCGCATAATTCGATTCCTTGTGATCCAGAATCCTCGCTCGCGATAATCGCATCAGGCATGTCATATGCAGGCAAATTTGCATACGCGATGATAGGCGGATGTGCTCGCGTTGTATTACAATCGAGAGGCTGCGCCGTGAGCATTAGAGACGGCGTATGGTGTTTAATCTCGTGCTTAATGATCTCCTAGGCGCAATAGTAGTTCAAGTTAATACACAGTGCAACTGCGCTAATTTAAACCATAATTATATAAACTACAAACTTTCCTAACTTAACTCTAACACATAAAAACAAGGATTTTGTCGTTATCGATAAATTGTCATATTTTTATAAATCTTTTTTTGTGTTCAAATTTTTATTTTAAACTCGATTATATAAATTTTGAATTATTTGTAGAAATTTTGGTCGAGCATATTAGATAGAATTTATTTATTTATTTTATTTTAATAGACAAAATTTGCATTTGTCATAATTTACTTATATTTACGTCATAATTTTTATGGCCCTTTTTACTCATTAAAATCTTGGGATAACGAGGTTCTAAATTCGATTATATAGATTCTGAGAAATTAGGTCGGCGAGAAAGAGTCTATTAGAGACGGTAAATAAGTGATTTTCAAAATGACTTCCGCGCGAGAGATAATCGCTTCTCTGGTTTTCTCGATAACGGGCCACCGTAATCGAGCAGTTAGGGCGCATGCAAGACTGGGAAGGTACACGGGAGAATATATATTGTGCTTAATGACCTTATTAGGGCACTAATTGTCACTCTAACGAAGTACGAATCTCTCGTACTCGGCGACGAGCGAATTTAGTTCCGCTATGGAGAACTCTATCTCTATCTCTCGCGGCTCCATTTGGCAGATTGATAGAGACTAATGCTCGGTTTTGTTGAATACGAAACCGTTTGCTGCGCGAGTATGAGCGAACGAAGGGTACATGTGTGTTTAATGCGCCGAGTTCATATAATTGCGCGGCGAAGTGCATATATTGATTTCAAGAACGAGCAATCATAGCTCATTAAATTATAATAGTAATAATATGCACTTTGAATGTAATTAGCTTCATGTAATTATTTTAGTCAAATGCAATGCTCCTTGAATTGATTTCTTACAAGATCTTTATGTTAAATGTGGAATTAAATATATTAGATACAGTTATCCATGTTATAAAGAATATTATGCTGAAACACATTAAATATAATATCATATACCTGTTGCTGCTAGGAAATGATAATTATAATTGCGATAAGCAAATCTCTATTAACGACACATTCTATCTCCCACAGTGTTCCCCAAAATTTCATATATCCCCCGAGAGCTTGCTCCGGGACATTAATTAACGCTTCGTTCGCTCATTAATTTATTCAAATATGGATTCCGATTCGCGAACAAACCCGGAAATGGAATAAAAGGCTACGCTGACGGCTGCCGTACATCGCGGACATTCGAAAACGATTGCATCGCGCTCATGAAATCAAATGAAACTAACTCGCAGTGCCATTTCCGCGGATATCGTTTAGTTTCATTACCGTCGTCGAACCGGGGCAACGAGGGATGCCCGGCTCTCATGTGCACGCGAACAGCAACGCGTATATACCTACGTGTGTGCAATTAATGAACTGGCATCGCCCGATTAACCCCGAACCTGGGTATTATGTGCCTAAATCGCTCGCTCTTTCTCTCTTACACACACGCACAAATACATAGTCACGCTCGCTCTTTCTCCTGTATGTATCAACGTGATACGTCGATACTGTCCGCGATACGCACATATGCAAATCGGTACTTAAGAGTAATTCTATCTAGGATAATCATGCCCTTTTTGGAACATGTGTTACGCACAAATAAATAGATTGTTGATTAATCTTTAGATTATTTTCACAATTAATTTTTTTGATCGAGGAAGATACGGTGTATATATATTAAAAATAACTAAATTCAGTATCCATTTATATAAGATTAATCTAAATAATTTGTGAAATTTATTTGAATTTCTGTCTAAAATGGACTTTTTAAATTATGCATTTCTTCGTCCTTGCACTGAATCTTTCAACTGAGTAAATAAGAGATGATATCTAGTTGGAAGAATGACAGTCGGTGAGCACAAAAGAGTGAAAAGAACGAATGATAAAAAAGAACTATTTCATAAATGGAATAAATATTATAAAAGATCAAAGATTTTTATTACGTATAAATTTAACGAACGTTAATTCTGGTTTGAACAAAGTTAATAAAATGCGGAAGATAATCTCGCGAATAAACTGATTCTTCGTTCGAATTTAATCGTTAAAAATTTTAAATAATTATTGCTTTGTGCAATTAAGATGTGTTACTGGCGAATGCGAGAGCAAACAAGAAGCAGAGAAAAGAACGAATAGTAAAAGAATTATCTCATAAATGGAATAAATATTATAAAAGATTAAAGATTTTTATTACGTATAAATTTAACTAATATTAATTCTGGTTTGAACAAAGTTAATAAAATGCGGAAGGTAATCTCACGAACAAACTGATTCTTCGTTCGAATTTAATCGTTAAAAATTTTAAATGATTATTGCTTTGTGCAATCGAGATGTGTTACTGGCGAATACGACAGCAAACAAGAAGCAGAGAAAAGAACGAATGGTAAAAGAATTATCTCATAAATGGAATAAATATTATAAAAGATTAAAGATTTTTATTACGTATAAATTTAACGAATGTTAATTCTAGTTTGAACAAAGTTAATAAAATCCAGAAGGTAACCGACACGAACAAACACTGATTTCTCAATCGAATCGAATTTAATCATTAAAAATTTTAAATAATTACTGCTCTGTGCAATCGAGATGTGCTACTGGCGAATGCGAGAGCAAACAAGAAGCGGTGTCTGGTTGAATGAATGGTAGTCGTGGTGAATATACGGAGAAGCAAGAAAGACAACGGTGTGCGACGCGCGGGAAAGGGAGAAAGGGCGGTGTGGAGGACCAGTATGTAGGGATATATCCTCATGTATAATTCACACCTCGAGCGCCATGCCTTCACCGCCATTGGTCGAGGCTCACTCTGTCGCTGGTTTTACGAGAAAATCAAAGGATCAAGCGCGCGTACGTGCACACGGGGACCGTCCTCGCCGAGAGGAGAGTGAATTGACATTTCTTGCGATTCCGCAATCCGCATACAAAAGGTGATTTTGCGCCCTTCTTCTCCGCCGCGGCCGCGTCGTCGTTGAACGATCGCGAACAACGTGATAAGAATTGCGGCGAATAAAATCCGCGCCCCGAGTGAAACTCGCGTCTCGTAAATACATATGGCGAATATAGCTTCCGGATTTTTGAATCCGTTATTAGACGCGTAAACATCCTTGATCGCTGAAATTCCAGACATCCTGTATATCGCAAAGGACCGAGATATTTTTTTACATTGATTCAGTAGTCAGTAAAATCTTCCTCTTCTAATTAATTTCTCTCTCCCTTTCTTTTTTCGTACTCAATATAAATATAATTAAATTTGTGTCTCAGAGAGATTTAATTTTGAAATATAAAATAGGGGAAGTAAAACAAAAAGTGCAAGATACATTCGTCCGACAGATACTTGGGCAGAATATATCGAAACGAAACGGCAATTTTGATTGCTCGATTCCAATGAAATGATACTTGGACGCTGCGATGCGATTCAGGTTTGTAAGTACATATCGAACTTGATCCCGTCGTTAAAAGCAATTGAACTCCGACTGAACGCACCCGCAATATCTTTAACATTACTTTTTATCGCGCGAGAGAGAAACTTTTCCCAACTTTATTAGAGGGTGTTCCCGGGGCCCCCGGAGAGAGTTGGTGCGATTTGAGGATTGCGATTCTGCGCACTCGTTGGCCGGCTATCTAATATCACGGTTCGCCACACAAACACCTATAAAAGCGATTATTGTCCAATGATAGTTCTTTCTCTCTGCCTCTCTCTCTCTCTCTCTCTTTCTTCTTCTCGATGTCTCTTAATAGCGGCGAAGTGTTGGTAGCAGATGCCGAATTTCACGTCTCCCTTAATGTACCGTGCGCGAGCGCGATAATATCGCTATCGGAACTTCCACCGGTATTGCAATCTAAGTTATCGAGCTATCGACATGTCGGATGCGTGTCGGAGTGGCATTGTTATCGCCATCTCCGCCCATTATCGCACACATTATTACGTGTATATATCTTAATTTATTTTAAAAGTACTTTGTGTCGAGACTAATTATATAATTTTTCGAAAAATTTAATGACGAATTTTTTTAATCAACACTCGATGGTTCAGTCAAATTTTCTCCAGTCTTTTCGAAATACAGTCTTTGTTAGCAAAAGATTTTATTTCTGTAATACGGTATCCTTAAAGAAACATGTGCAATTCGAAGATTACCTCGAATTATCGTACTTTGAATTGTGCCGGACCCATGAATCTTTTCTCGAATTTAATTAAGGACTTGCGGTGCCACGGGTGGATGATAATAATAAAGCTTTTCCAAGGGTAATCTGTACTTTGAGAGGCAGCAGGATAGAAAGAGAGACAGAAGGAGAGAGAGAGAGAAAGAGGATGGATGAGAGAAGGCGAGGTGCCGTTTCACACAGGTTCGAGGCTTC